GCGGAAGGAGGCGCGGGATTGGGGCGCGGGAACGGGAGCGCGGGACAGTGGTAGAGGAAAAAGGCGGGGGAAGTATGAGAAGGAAGCGAAGTGCACGATGATGACGATGATTGGGACCTCGGCTGCAACGACGCGCTCCGCATAGCAGGCCAAATGAAGACAACGACAACATGCAAGCGACACAAGCTTGTCAGCGCACAGTGCGACCATCCCTCTCTCTCTCTCTCTCTCTGTCTCCCTCTTCCTCTCCCTCCCTCTCCCTCTATCTCTCTCTCTCTCTCTCTCTCCCTCATCTCTCTCTCTCTCTCTCTCTCTTTCTCTCTCTCTCTCTCTCTCTCTCTCTCTCTCTCTCTTTATACACATATGTGTGTATACACATATAAATATCCGCCGGCCCCCTTGCGGGGCCATCGGGCTGCGAGGCTCACGTTTACTGCTCCCTGCGCCAGTTCCAGTTTCCAGCTCGCAGTATAACAGTATGGCGTTATGCTTCTTACTGTTAATTGTTACTGTCCGCGCGAGGGGGGGGAGCCGAAAAGTGCCCTGGTTGGCGCCACCGAATCACATCCTCAGAATGTCTGGGGCGCCGTGGGACACGTAAAAATACTTAAGACTCGCGCCCCCGACGCAATAATCCTTCGCACATTATTTTGTACTCGCGCCACCGAAACCACGATCCCTCATAAAATAAAGCAGATTCACGCTCCTGAGGCCCCGATCCCCTGTGGCCTCCAGACGGCCAAGATGACCTTCAAGATGCCCACGTGTTCCCCGAAGGCTTTCCAAGCCGATTCGGGGAACACATGGTCCGATAGCTTGGCAGGTCTGGCCGTTCGGCCACATAGGCGCTTCCAAAAAGGCAGGGGGCGGCGGTGATTCGCCGTAGGCGTCTTCGATCCGCCGCCCTCTGTCGATTCATCGCAGGGGGCACGGTTGCAAAGGGATTTTCCTGCTCCAGACGGCTCCAAGACGGCCCAAGATGGCAGCCAAGATGCATCCAAGACGGCCAAGATAGCCTCCAAGATGGCTCAGATGGCCCCAAGATGCCTCCAAGACGAGCCAAGATGCACTCAAGAGAGCCTCAGATGGCATCAACATGGCCCAAGACGGCCCCAGGGGCCTCCAAGAGGTCTCGAAGACGGCCCAAGAGGCCTCCAAGAGGTCCTCCACGAGGGCCCGAAAAGGCCAAAACCAGTGATTGTCCTGAGGTTTTTGAAGGATTGTGGAATTTGTTGTTTTTCTGCCTTCCGACGGCCCGAGACGGCCCAAGAGGCCCCCAAGATCGCCCCCAGAGCGCCCAAGAGGCCTCCAAGGTGGCCTCAGGACTGCCGAAGAGGCCCCCAAGACGGCCCCGAGAGGGCACAAAGACGACCCAAGAGGCCTCCAAGACGCCCAAGATGGCTTCTAAGACGGCCCTGGAGCACCCCAAGAGGGCCCCAGCCCCCCAAACGGCTTCCGACGGCGTCAGACGGGCCAGGAGCCCGCCAAGATGGCCGAAGTTAGCTCGAAGCTGGCCCAAGACGGCCCAAGAGACCTCCAACTAAGGTTTTTGGAGGAGTTTGACATTTGCTTCTGTTCGGCCTTCCGACGGCCCGAGACGGCCCAAGAGCACCCAAAGATCGCCCCAAGATCGCCCAAGAGGCCTAAGATGGCCCCAGAACGGCCCAAGAGGCCCCCAAGACAGCCCCAAGAGGCCCCCAAGACGGCCCAGGAGGCCTTTAAGACGCCCAAGATGGCCTCCAAGACGGCCCTGGAGCATTCCAAGAGGGCCCGCCCCAAGGCGGCCCAGAGAGGCCCCCCAAACGGCTTCCGACGGCGTCAGACGGGCCAGGAGCCCACCAAGACGGCCGAAGATGGCCCTAAGATGGCCCAAGAGGGCCCAAGAGGGCCCAAGAGGGCCCAAGAGGCCTCCAAGAGGGCATCCAGGAAGGCCCGAAAGGACCAAAAACAGTGATTTCACATAAGTTGTTGAAGGATTGTGGCATTTGCTTTTTTTGTTCGGCCCTCCGACGGCCCGAGACGGCCCAAGAGCCCCCAAAGATCGCCCAAGAGGTCTCTATTATGGCCCCAGAACAGCCCAAGAGGCGCCCAAGACGGCCCCAAGAGGCCCCCAAGACGGCCCAGGAGGCATCCAAGACGCTCAAGATGGCCTCCAAGACGGCCCTGGAGCACCCCAAGAAAGCCCCAAGTCGGCCCAGAGAGGCCCCCAAGACGGCTTCCGACGGCGTCAGACGGGCCATGTGCCCACCAACACGGCCAAAGAGGCCCCGACAAGCCCCCAAAGGTCCAAGAGGCTCCCGGGAAGCTCCCAGGAGGCCCCAAGAGTGCCCCCAGAGGCTCCCCAAATGCCCCCTCCTCCTCCGCCTCCTCCTCCTCCTCTTCCTCCTCCTCCTCCTCCACCTCCTCCTCCGCCTCCTCTTGATCTTCCCCGCCATCCTCCCCCAAGTGTTCCCCGAAGGGTTCCACATGGGGGAACACCTGGCTCGACACCTTGGCAGAGATATTGCCACAACGCTCGGCCACATGGGCGATTCTAGAAGGCGGGGGGCGGCGGTGATTCGCCACAGGCGTCTTCGATAACGCAAACGTGTCAAGATGCGCTGGTGACTCCTATCCACCCCCGCATGCTGTTCCCAGATGCGCCGAGGCAGCGCCGAGGCGCACCGACGCGACTCTGTTATATCCCATTATGATAGAGAAGGGGCTGGCGGCAGGGGGCAAAGCCCTTACGGGTATAGATGTGTATATAGATGTTCCCCGAACACTGCTTGCACTAAGGGGTTATGACTTAGTTATGTTCTGAGGAACTGAGCTGGTGTTGCGGTTTGGCGGCTATGTTGTCACCGTCGCCACCCCGTCGCCGCCTCGTCGCCGCCCGTCGGCTGGGCCAGTGGGGCGGTCTTGTGGCTATGTTGCCGCAGTCGCTACCCCGTCGCCGCCTCTTCACGGCCTGTCGTCTGGGCCAGGGTGGCAGTATGTATGTGTATATGTGTGTATGTATGCATGCTTGTATACATGTACGTATGTCTGTGATGGATGTATGTATGGATGGGGATGTATGTATGTATAAGTATGTTTGTACGTGTGCCTGTAGTGTGTATGTATGTACGTATGTAGTGATGCCTGTCCGTCTGTATGTCTGCCCACATGTGTGTATGTAGTATGCCTGTGCGTAAGCGTACATGTTTATATACATGTATGTACGTGCGTACGCATGGTTGTATACATGTGTACCTGGCTGTGCGGATACATGTATGTATGTATGTATAGGCGTACGTATGTATGTGTGCGAGTATGCAGTCATGCATGCATGCATGTATGTGTGCATGCACGTCTGTGTATGACTATACGTGTGTATGTATGGATGTACGCATGTACGTATTCATGTATGTGTGGATGGCTCCATGTGTGTGCACATGTATGTGTGCATGTATGTATGTGTGTATGTATGTATGGGTGCATGTGTGTGTGCACCTATGGCGTGTGTATGCGTGTCAATGTGTATGTGTGTATGTGTGTATGCATGTGTGTATGCACATGCATGTGTGTATGTGTATGCATGTATACATGTATGTTTGTGAACGTAGGTATGTGTGTATGCATGTGTGGGCGAATGCATGTATGTGTGAACGTAAGGATGCATGTGTCGTTGTGTGGTTGTGTGTATGCATGTATGTATGTATGTATGTGTGTATGTGTATGTGTGTATGTGTGTATGTGTGTATATATGTATGTATGTATGTATGCATGTGCATGTACATCTGGTTGTATGTATGTTTGCATGTATGCATGCATGTGTGTCAGCTTGTGTGTATGTATGTATGGATGGATGGACGGGTGGATGGATGGATGGATGAATGTGTGTCTGTATGTTGTCTGTGCGTTCGTATGTATGTACGGACCCCTGTCTATGCACACGACTCCCCGCCTCCCTCCACCACCTACAGCTAATCCTCTTTCTCCTCCGTATCCTCCTCCTCCTCCTCCCCCGTCCGCTCCTGCCCTTCCTCCTCCTTCTCCTCCCCCTCATCCCCCTCATTCCTACCACCTCCTCCTACTCCTCCTCGTCCTACTCCTCCTCATCCTCCTCCTCCTCCTCCTCCTCCTCCTCCCTCCTCCTCCTCCTCCACCTCCTCCACCTCATCCTATTACTCCTCCTCATCCTCCTCCTCATTCGCCTCTTCTATCTTCTCCTCCCTTCTCCTGCTAACTCTCATCCCCGCGACCTCTTGAAGCCTTGGAAGCCCCTGGAAGCCCGCAGAATGAGAGGGAGGGGGAGGAGCAGGAGGAGGAAAAAGAGGAGGATGAAAAAAATGAGGAAGAGGAAATGGAGGGGTATGAGGAGAAGGAGAAGGAGGAGGAGGAGGAGGAGGAGTTGGAAAAAGATGTGGAGGAGGAGGTGATGGCGAAGGCGGAGGATGGAGGGAGGGGGGGTGGGAGGAGGAGGAACAGGAGGAGGAGGAGAAGGAGGGGAGGGGAAGGGGGACGAAGAGGAGCCTCCTCTCCCTCCTCCTGCTCCTCCTCCTCCCTCCTCCTCCTAAACAGGCTGCGAGTTGGGGTCTCCCCAAGCAATGGGTGTCCCCCATTGGCAGTCCCAAATGCGGCCAACGGCCCCGAGGGACTGCTCAATGGCGGCCCGCTCGCAGACCTGGCAGTTTGGTCAGTGATCCTCCCTCCTCCTCCTCCTTCTCCTCCTCCTCCGCCTCATCGTCATCATCATCGTCATGATCATCATCATCATCATCATCATCATCATCATCAGCATCATCATCATCATCAGCATCATCATCAGAATCATCATCACCACCACCACCACCACCATCATCATCATCATCATCATCATCATCATCATCATCCTGCTGCTCCTCCTCCTCCTCCTCCCCCTCCTCCTCCTCCTCCTCCTCATCATCATCATCATCGTCATCATCATCGTCATCATCGTTATCATCATCGTCATCATCCTCTCCTCCCCTCCTAGTTATCATCCTCCGCTGAGGGTCCTCGCAAGTGTCGATGAAGCTCGAGGTCTCGAGCCGCCTGAGCTCGACGGCGTACTGAGAGTGCCGCCACCCTGGCCCGAGGCGCATGCCCGGCTCGTGGGACCCGCCACCCCGGCCTGGTCCACTGGTGCTACGAGGGGCGCGAGTCTTCTGACGAGGAAGGCGAGGAAGACGAGGAGGACCAGACGGACGAGGTGGAGGGGAACGAGGAGGGCGAGGAGGACGAGGAGGACGAGGAGGTCGGGGAGGAGGAGGGCGAGGAGGAGTAGGAGGAGAAGGAGGAGGAAGAGGAGGAGGGGGAGGGGGAGAGGGATGGGGAGGCGGGGAGAGGGGAGGACGAGGAGGCGGCAAAGAAGGAGGAGGACGACTAGAGACATGGAGGAGGACAAGGAGAAGGACAAGGAGGAGGACGCAGACGACGCGACGACGAGAGAAGCAGGGAGGAGGACAATGACGACGACGACGACGACGACGACGACGACTCCGACGACGACGACGGTGACGGCGACGGCGACGGCAACGGCGACGACGACGACGACGACGACGACGACGACGATCAGGAGGAGCGAGGAAACAGCAAGATGAGGCAGCAAAGCAAGAGAGGGAAGAAACGGAAGAGGAGGACGAGGGCACGGACGAGAACGAAGTGAAAGATGTTAACTAGTGTAAAGCGGAGAAAACATGCACATCAGTATGAAGGAGAAGATAAAGGGCACATGATGAGAGGAAGAGATGATGGCGAAATGAGAGGAAGGAATGAATATCCGTTGGCCACTCTGTGGGGCCATCAGACTGCGGGGCTCAGGCTTCCTGCAGCCTGCTCCAGGAGTTGTGATTCTCCAGTGCCAGGGTTTCCCCGAGCAGTGCTTGCACCTAGGGGCGATCACTTGTCTGCTCAAGAACTGGGCCTGCGTGGCGGCCTGGCGCCTCCGTGGTCGCCGTCGCGGCCCCGTCGCCGCCTCGTCGCCGCCCGCCGTCTGGGCCTGCGTGGCGGTCTGGCGGCTCCGTGGTCGCCGTCGCCGGCCTCGACGCCGCCTCGTCGCCGCCCGTCGTCTGGGATGGCGTGGCGGCATGGCGGCGCCATGGTCGCCGTCGCCGCCTCGTCGCCGCCCCGTCGCCGCACGGCTTCTCGGCCTGCATTGCTTGGCATTGCATTGCATTGCATTGCATTGCTTGGCATTGCTATGCCGTGCTTTGCACTGCGTTGCACTACATTGCTTTGCCTTGCTTCGCCCTGCTTCGCACACATGGTTTGACATGAAACAAAATAAGTTGCACAACATCTATTGCACAGCATCGCTTGCTCCACATGAGTTGCATGGCATAGACTGCGCACCACGTAAATTGCCCCACATACAACCTAGGACTGCACCACATAGATTCTCCTTTCTAAAAACAGAATAGACTCTACCCCCCCCTGGCGTTATCGGTCCCCCTTTCAGGTATGTAAACCATATATGATTCTGACCACATGTCCATCCTAAATATGAAATCACAAAGTCCCAGGCCAACCGGTATCCCCCCCGTGAGGGTCCTTTGTAAAAAACACTATGCGTCTTCCTTGGGATCGTCGTCGTCGTCCTCTTTGGCGTCGTGGTCGTTTCCGTCGTCGTTGTCGCCGTGGTCGTCCTTCCTCCTCCTCCCTCGTCGTCGTCGTCGTCGTCCGTCGTCGGCGTCTCGTCGTCGTCCCTCCTATTTCGTCGCCGTCGTCGTCGTCGTCGTCGACGTCATTGTCGTCGTCGTCTTCCCTCCTCCCTCGTCGCTGCCGTCGTCGGCGTCGCCGTCCTTCCTCCTTCTTCGTCGTTCGCGTCGTCGCCGTCCTCCCTCCTCCTCGTCGTTGTCGTCGTTGTCGTCGTTGTCGCCGTCGTCGTCCTTCCTCCTCCCTCGTCGTCTTCGTTGGCGACGTCGTCGTCGTCTCGTCGTCGTCGGCGTCGGCGTCGTTGTCGTCTTCGTCGTCGTCGACGTCGGCGTCGTCGTCGTCGCCGCAGTCGTCGTCGTCGTCGGCGTCGATGACGTCGTCGTCGTCGTCGGTGTCGTCGTCATCGTCGTCGTCGGCGTCGTCATCGTCGTCGTCGTTGTCATCGTCGTCGTCGTCGGCGTCGGCGTCGGCGTCGTCGTCGTCGTCGGTGTCGTCGTCGTCAACGTTGTCGGCATCGTCGAAGTCGTTGGAGACGTCGTCGGTGTCGCCGTAGTCGTTGTCGTCGTCGTCGTTGTCGCTGTCGTCGTCGGCGTCACTGTTGTTGCCAAGTGCCATTTGGTACCCACCGTCACGGTCTTAAGAGATTTTGCAGACCAAGTTGCGGGTGGGTGGGTGGGATGTTTGCGCGAGCAGTGGAGTGGACAACTCACTGCGAACAGCAATTAATTCTCCTTTCTGAAAACAAAATAAGTTCGACCCCCCCACCCCGGCGTTATCGACCCCCCTTTCGGGTGTGCAAATCAAATACGATTATGACCACATGTCCATCCTAAATATGAAATCGCAAAGTCCCAGGCCAACCGGTATCCCCCCCCGTAAGGGTCCCTTGTAGGAGAGAAAAAAAAAACAAAAAAATGCGGTGACATGTTGTGTTCTAACATAACACTGTTTCACGAATCCCTTTCAAAAAACGGGACGAAGTGCGCACGCGCGCGTCGTCGCGCGCGCATGCCGAAATCCTTCAAAAACCTTCGGTGCCGGAAGGATTTCGCAATCGAGTTTCCAAAAAAACATTCAAACAAAAATGGTTTCGCAACACTGATTTGCTTAAAAAGTTTCCGCGCGAGCTCTTGCGAAATCTTAAGAAAACCATAGGTTTTTCAAGATTTTCACAAAATGCTATTTAACGGGCTTCGCGCGCGCGCATGTCGAAATCTGTCGAACGCCCTTGCGCGTGTGCCGTCCCGAGAATCCTCTGAAACAAAAAAAAGACGAAGTGCAGACGCGCGCGTCGTCGCGCGCGTATGCCGAAAACCTTCAAGACCCATCGGTTTCGGAAGGATTTCAAAATCGTGTGTCCAAAAAACCTACAGAAACACAAGGTTTCGCAACACGGATTTTCAACTAAAGCGTGCGCGCGCGCTCTTGCATCGTCGTCGTCTTCGTCGTCGTCATCGTCGTCGTCGTCGTCGTCGCCGTCCTCCCTCCTCCCACGTCGTCGTCGTCGTCGTCGCCTACGTCGTCCTCTGTCTTTCCTCGTGTTCGTCGTCGTCGTCCTCTTTGGCGTCGTGGTCGTTCCCGTCGTCGTTGTTGCCGTGGTCGTCCTTCCTCCTCCTCCCTCGTCGTCGTCGTCGTCCGTCGTCGGCGTCTCGTCGGCGTCCCTCCTATTTCGTCGCCGTCGTCGTCGTCGCCGTTGTCGTCGTCGTCTTCCCTCCTCCCTCGTCGTTATCGTCGTCGGCGCCGCCGTCCTTCCTCCTTCTTCGTCGTTCGCGTCGTCACCGTCCTCCCTCCTCCCTCGTCGTTGTCGTCGTTGTCGTCGTTGTCGTCGTCGTCGTCCTTCCTCCTCCCTCGTCGTCGTCTTCGTTGGCGACGTCGTCGTCGTCTTCGTCGTCGTCGGCGTCGCGTGTCGTCGTCGAAGTCGTCGCGGTGTCGTCGTCGTCGTCGTCGGCGTCGTTGACGTCGTCGTCGTCGTCGGTGTCGTCGTGTCGTCGTCGAAATCGTTGGAGACGTCGTCGGTGTCGTCGTAGTCGGTGTCGGCGGCGCCGTCGTCGTCGTTGTCGCTGTCGTCGTCGGCGTCGGTGTCGTGGCCAAGTGTCATGTGGTACGTACCGTCACGGTCTTGTCTTAAGAGGTCTTGCGACCAAGTTGCGGGTGGAAGGGTGGGATGTTGGCACGAGCAGTGGAGAGGACAGCTTCAAGACGGTCAAAAACTAACTGCACCACATAGATTGCACCACATTGATTACGGGGCCCACGCTGGCAAACATCTACTTTCTGCTTCCTAGTGTCAACTGTTACTGTCCGCGCGAGGAAAGAACCGAAAACGAGCCTGGCCACCACGCCCGAATCGCATCGCTGGCCCGGACCCACACAAGGCAAGCCCGTGTCAACACCCGAAGCCCCGCCCCCACCGGTGCAAGAACAGCGGCGCGCCAGCACCGCCGCGCCCGTCGCGCCCGTGGGCCGCGGCCGCAAAACGGACGGGCCCCGGGGCCGCGGCGGCCCCGGCGTCCGCCCGAAGGCCGCGGGCGGCCGGCCGCCGCCCGCTCGCGAAGCGCTGACATGACATGCCACCGCAGGGCGCCGCTGCGCCGCCGGCAGGGGCAAAAGAAGACTGCCCCTGCCGCAAGGGCCGCCGGACACGGCCCCCAGAGCGCACTGGAGGCCCGCAGAGATCTCTGGGGATCCCCGGAACCTCCAGGAGGCCTCCTGGAACCGAACAGAAACGAAGGTACGTCCAACGTAACCTCGAGCGCGGGCAGCGCCTTGTGGACGTCGGGCGTCACGGCGACACCTGGCGCCCCATGTGCTCACCGCCGCCCTCTCGAAGACAGGCCCGAGAAGGTTTCCCCACGCAAGGGCAGAAGGAGCGCCGCGCTGAGCCGACGATCCCAATAAATTCACGTCTCTCTAGCTGGAGGCACCACAGATCCGTTGCGTGCAAGTGGCAGCAGACTGCGAGAAAAGACACTCCGTCACAGACGAAGCTCAACTTGGGGAGATCGGGGGAGGCTGATCCAGCGGACACCGCCCTAAGTGTAAATCCCACCAGCCCTGTGGGCGACAGGTGGTATAAGGAGGGACTCTTTGCTCTTCCACAACCCCTCTTCCTTTCGGGGAGGGGAACCACCCCCTTCCTCTCCCTGAGGTTTTTGGGGAGGGCCGCGACGAGTTACAGTGTCCTTTTTCGGCCCCTGGGAGGGCCATGTTCTGCGACCCCTCACAAGGATCGTGGCCCCCGAAGGGGGGGACTGACAGAAAGGAACCCCCTCTTTTGATCGATAGCCTCCAAGATGGCCCCAAGAGGGCCTCCAGGGTTCCCAAGAGAACCCCAAGAGGGCCCAAAGAGCGCCCCAAGAAGCCCCAAGAGGCCCTCGAGAGGCACCCGAGAGGCCCCCGAGAAGCCCCCGAGCGGCCTCAAAGAGCCCAAGATG